TTCGCGGATTGGCACGCGTGACCCAAGCTCAAAACCAGATAGCCGTAACACGTTGGACTGCCACCTTCCTCCTGGTGACTAAAAGTTCTTCCATATGTCACTCGGAGGAGACTTAGCGAATCTAATTTTATGCATGGTGAGAAACGACCAAAGGACATAACATGTTCAAACATGTCGTTTTCAGTACATCATGGAAATTCAGGCCAATAGGATTCACCGTTCTAGTGATGACTTAGTACACCTTCCCCCGTATCACTCGCATGCACTTCCAAATGCTCAGTGGGGCTTACGCAAACCGCCCTGTGAATATGCTGTCTACTCCGGACCCACAAAAGACGAAACCCCCATTGAGAGTGTCCAGCGAGCTGCCACGTAAGTGGTCGCCACTTTATATCCGTGCGCTACGAAACGCGTCTCGCGATGCCCGAATGATTTCCCCTGGAATATCGTCGCCTCGGAGGGAACCTAACTCTTACGTATATCCAGTTTAAATAAGGCTTGGCCAACAGGTTTTTCACCGCCGACCCAGCGAACACACGGCGGAAAATTAGTAGGATTTTCAAGCTCAATAAAGGTTTTATCATTTCGGGTAGCAGCTGCGTGGAATAACCTTCCTCAGACGGTTGTCCACACTCCATCTACAGCCAGTTCTAGGCAATTTCAACATTTATCTACGCCAGTCTTCACGCTGAAAAGCATATTGCCCCGCGCTGAGAACTTAAAGAGCAGCGTCACACCTGTTGTCACTGGCGCCTATCAGGTGAACGACAGGTACTGAACGAAAAGAAAAAAAACCAACCCATGAACCTTGGGCAAAAGCCTTGATTCAGTGTACCAATCTGTGAGAGCGTGAAGCTTGCAAGCGAGGGACAAAGACTGGTTCCAAACTTCGGAACAGGAGCCGGAGCAGAATTATAAACTTGGGCAATCACAGGTTGTTCAACGCCTTTCTGCTCCTCACTTTCGGATTCTGCAGAAGAACAGTCAAAGTGCTTTTTCAGAAGCTGCCCGGTCTTCTTAACAAGATTTCTGGCATTTATATGTCAGCAATGTTTGAAATTTGGTCGCAATCGCACACAAAAAGTCCTGGCTAAAACAGAACCTCTCCTATACTGAAATCAAGGAGGACTGCTTCTAGAATTTCTCTGCAACTTTTTAGACGTGGTAGGGAGGACTGCGTTGCTTTGTGCATAAACGCGATCATTTCTGCACTAAACACGTTCCCGGTCACACTTTCCTGCCATTATCGTGATACGGTGTGGGTAAAAATTCCACTCAAAAAGGACCTAGTTGCATTTTCCCGAAGTCTTTTACCATTTCCTATATATCACCGAGGGCCTTAAAAAATACACAAAAGCGAGAGCCAGACTGTGTCTCCTCTCCTGTGCCAAACCAGTTTTCAGGCTGAAACGCCTAGTATGGTATGGAGCCTTAGTCTTTGTTGACCGGTACTGGACTGATAATAGAAGGTTCACGTTCCTGTTGGAACCGACCAACTACTCTGCATTGTCTACACCAATTGTGTTGGTCATAAAGGCTAACGGGACCACCCGGTTTTGTGTGGTATTTTCCAAATAGCCAGGTTATAGACAAAACTTCAGTGATCCTGCGTGTCATAAAATGCTTTACGGCCTTAATTTCATCTCACTTAGCGACCGCAAGCCACCCATTGCTGTGCTTGGCTTGGATGAGTGCATTCCGGTACATACCGCCGACTGGTTAGGATTCGCGAGCAAGCAGCGTCAATGAGTATTAGTTCCCTTGCTTCGAACCAAGGTGAACCTGTCAGGCGTAATCACATAATTACCAGCAGTTAGAGCCGCTACGACCGTGAAGCCTATCCCAAACAGGGATATATATGACTGTCATATAACTGAACCTAACAGCCAATCATGACCCAGTATTCGCCGAATGCTGGTTGACAATGGTACATCCAGAATGCGTCAGAATTTACAAGATATTGCCGAGATATACACTTTATACACGATGCGCTGTTGAATTGTTTCTTTCACTTGGTTTTGGGCATTATGTTGTGTACCTGCAATTGTTGTTTTCAGTAGGAGGAGGTCCAAACCGACAACTCATTTTAGAGGAACTCCGTCATCACACTAGACTTCAGGCGGAGCAAAGTAATGACCAGACAAGCAACGTCTCCCCTGGTCACCCACAATTCACAAAATTGTCACCAGCCACTGAGCTTGAAAAATAAAGGCTGCTTTCATGTACTTTATTCCTAGTGAGTATCATCAGTGAAGGCTGCAGGATGGGGGACCCTTCTAGTGCCTGATTTTCTTTGATATCACACCACCACCAACGTTAACGTCCAAAATAGGGTTTGAACATAGGTCTTCAAATCTGCCTTAAGACGAGTAATACTTTCAACCTGCAGTAAACACGAAGAGGCGGCCCCAACCAGGACTAGCAACCATTTGCTTAGGATTGCCAGTCGCGTTTGATTTGGGATGCGCTCTACCATTTCTATCCTGGCGCCCTGAGCGCACCACTTCCACCCGCCGCCAAAGAGTAAACAAGCGCATCCTTCACCGAGATCCAACTAACGACGGGCTATCGTTTATATACTATCCGCCAACTGTGACTAACTTAGAGGCGTAAAGCATCGAGAATTTCATCTTGTCTACTACAAAATTATCCATTGTACTCTGCAAACAGCTAAAGCATCATACAGATATCAAACACCCTCAACTCAAGCTTCACGTTATGAGGTCGAGCAACATTAAACATTATACACAGAAAACGCCCCCTGTTTGAATATCGCCCATTAGGCGACATAGAAGGACGAAAGTTGGTGGAGACGGCACGCCATTGCCGCAGGAACCCAGGCCACAGAACCGACCGTCTCACTTTGCTTGTGAGAGACTTAACCGTTCCCTCCCGGACAGATTGCACCCTAATCTTTGGGGTGCTTGGGGTTGAACTCATGAAGAGTTTGGCACATCCAACAAATGTAGTCCCGAACTTGGCTCCGGGCCATCAAAAATGTACAGTACCCAATTTTTGTGTGCAAATGAATAAAAACCATATTTCTAATCCCACAATCATATCAAAAGGTAGAAGCAAGTCATAGCAACCGACCCGGTGGGACTTTTGGAACACCTCCCGCAGAACTTTAAGGACATTAGCGAAGTTCGCATCCCATATAACAGCCAAACGTCCATTCGACAAGCTCCACTTGGCTGAGGATCACGGGCAAACATTTGACATGGCAAAGCGGGACGTATCCTTGCAGCAACAAAATCACTGCCCCGAGACGGACGAAATTCATGCTTGTGCGAAACCACTTCATCCGCCCGCTAGAAAAGATCAACGTTGTGTGCAAATGCTCTTCACTGCCTGACTCACAGAATGACTAACTTTTAGCCAACGACCAAGAGTACCCTTGACATATGAGCTTGTAAGGCGAACGGCAAAGTGACAAAGGCTTGAGCCATGGCTCGCGGATTACTTGTTCGCCAAACACAACTTGATGGTTTATCAATGGGTTATCTTTCGTTATAGCCCAGAAATATCAGTATTAATGTTTCGACACATTTTTATATTAACTTGGTATTGTTTGGAGTGGCCTTACCAATTTACATCACGTGCAAGTTTAGGGTTACGCGAGATCCCAAAGTAGTTAAACGCTAACTCTGCAATCACTGAAGTCATCCCAGATGAGGCCGTATTTTACGCTTAATTTGTCTCGGAATTACTCGTGTTTGGACAGGTACTGACGGCCTGACGCGCAACAAACGCGTGCCAGCTAACGGATACGATCTACCGTTGCAAATTAAATGTAGTGAGACAGACACGCTGTTGTTCACGCGTCATTCCGTGCATATTTGAATGCACTTTTAGACGCTTTCATAGTTAAATAGTTGCACTGACAAGCTCACTAACACACAATGAGTACCTGAAGCGTAGGGCTACACTCATTTTTTCCAAATCATTTATACATGGTGTTTCGTCAGTCGCTTGACGAGGGCCGCATTCCCTCCGTTTGAGAGGAAGCGATTGTCACGCCAATCTACAAAACTGGTGACCGACTATCGCCTGGCTGTCAAGGCCTATAAGCCTCACTAGCGTGCGGTGCAAGCCGATGGAACGCATTCTGAAGTGAGCTATTTCAGATCCCTTTAGACCCAGCAACCTGGTATCTCCAGCTCAACACGGATTCCTCCCAAACGGTTCTTGCGTGACACACATGCTCATGTTTATGATCCACGTCAAAGACCTACCAGATGTTCTTGCAAGTCCATGTCTACTTTTTGCGGACGACTTGAAACCCTGGAGTTCCATGCCAGTGCCCTCCAAACGGATGTGGACGCTGCAAAGCAGTGGTCGTTGGACTGGCACCTTTCTCTGAATGACGTAAAGTGCGTCCGTATGTCGTTTCGAGGAGACTCAGCGAATGCCTTCGTTATGCATCAGAAAACATCATGAGGATAGATGCCAGAAAGGATTTGGGCACCTGGGCCTCCCCAAACTTATCCTTCTCACTGCACCATGAGAAATCCGTCCAAAAGCTATTCGCCATTCTACGGATGATCCGACGCACCCTCTCCCGTATTACTCGCATGGACTTCCAAGTACTCTATGGGGCCTACATCGGACCGCTCCTGGAATACGCCAACCAAGTTTTCTAATCAGGACGCACGAAAGATTTCACCCTCATTGAGCGTGTCCAGAGAGCCGCTACGAGACTGGTCGCTTGCCTCAAATCCGTGGACTAAGAAACGCGTCTCGCGATGCTTGATCGCTTTCCCTGGGATCCTGTCCGAAGATTGGAAGAATGACGCCACATTTCCGAAAAGGGCTGGTTTCATAAGTAAGTGAACTACCTTCCGGCGGGACTGAAAGGCGTCATCCTCATTGAGCGTGTCCAGCGAGCCGCTACGAGAATGGTTGTCGGTCTCAAATCCGTGGACTACGAAACGCGTCTCGCGATGCTTGATCCCTTTCCCTGGAGTACCGTCGCCTCCGAGTGGACCTAATTCCTACTTATGCCCTGTCTGAACAAAGCTTGGCAAACAGTTTTCTTACCGTTGACCCAGCAAACACACGGCGGGGACCGGGTAAGAATATTTTCAAGTTCAGAGTGCACACGTTCGTCAGACAAGATTTTTTCTCATTTCGGGTAGTAGCTACATGGAAAGACCTTCCTCCGACGTTTGTCCACGCTCATTTTACAACCCAGTTTAAAGCTTTATTAGACATTTATCTATGCGAATCCTCGCGTTGGCAAGCATACTCCCCGTGCTGAGAACGTAAAGAGCAGTGCTACACACTTTTTTCACTTGTGCCTCTCAGGGGAACGACAGCCACCTCCCGAGAAGAACAAAACGACCCGGGGATCTTGAGCCAAAGCGTCGATCTTGTGTATTAATCCGTGAACCCGTGAATCCCGAAGTCTGATTGGTCAGAATTGAGGCGGTCAATTTCCAGCTCGGCGCTGTTCACCCTTCCTGTTAGTTCTGGACTTGCTGCGTAAGTACAGTACATTAGTAATTCTAAATCATACCAAGCCTTTCCAAGTACCCTAAGGGAAAAAATTTGAAGGACTTTTGTGAGAAATATCTTTCGTACGTATATCGGTATAACCAGACGGACAAGAAATCCAGAATTCAGATCACCGCAACAAGTAACACGTATGTATTCGAATTGGCGTATATGTACAGCATATGGGATATTAAAACAAGAGAATAATGAATAGAGCAATGAATAGAGTATCAGTCATGTTCATCACATCCGCCACACCTTGAATGAGCGTGTGGATGTTTATAGTCCATTGGTGGTCTCGACCGCAATCTTTCGGATCTTCTCGGAATGGAAACTTCAGACTCTTCACAGGTAGTGCGTTCCTCAGATACAACGTTTTGTTCGGATACCATAAGATCATCTACAAAGGATTCATTAGTTTTTGAAACAGAAAGAGTGCCGTTAACAGACTGACCTCTTGTATTGAACTCAACCTGGCAATGTGTCTCCGATGGCAAGAGAGGTCATCCAAATCGAGAATTGTGACCATCCGTTTGCCATTTGATGAAAGTACCATTTCTGTAGCAGGTCGTAAATCATTACCCTTGAAAAATGTAACATCAGCCTTTTTGGCACAGTCAAGACTTGTACGCAACGAACGTGGTTTAAATAGAAGCGCAAGACTCAGTAACGGAATGAACGGCGTTCCTGTATTGCATTAGAAAATTATCAATCTCACGGTCCAATTCCACAAAAGTAGTGGGAGAGAGCGAAATAATGGCAGACTTAAGTGTTCGGACAAATTTCTCAGTAAATCCATTCGGCTGGGGATGTCGCGGAGCAGTAAACAGATGTCGGCATTCAAGATATTTTAACCATTCCTCAAAGAATTTTGCAGTGAAGTGTGTGGCGTTATTAGTGACCAAAACAGTTGATACACCTTCATGGCTGAATACTTTCCTCAAGGCTTGCTGAGTGAATTCGACACTTGGAGACGTAGTTAGAAAAACTTCAGGCCAACATGAATATGCGTCAATAACGATTAAAGCCTAGTATTTACCGAGAAAGGGACCATAGTAGTCCGCATGAACTCGTTGAAATGCCTCACAAGTAACTGGCCACGGATACCACTNATCCCGCTTGACTGGTAATGGTTGAATCAACAGACAATCTGAATTGTTTGAATCAGAGTCGCATGATGTAATTCTTGACAGGAAATCGACATGAGGAATCACTTTCGCACTGCGATGAACTATTGTGTAGGTGTAGGAACTCAGTGCAATAACCCACGTTGTACCATAGCGGCAGATGACTTCGCCAGAGACATTGTTGGATGATACAAGAACTTCAAAGCTTCGTGATCAGTAGCAATGGTAAAGTTCGATCCAAAAAGATATTTATGAAGCCGTTTGACAGCCCAGTATAGAGCAAGTGCTTCTCGTGGAATCTAAGAATATCCACGTTTGACTTTTTGAAAGTCGACGGGAAATGCAGATCATTGGTCTACCACACTGTTCAAGGACTGCTCCTATTCCAGCGGAAGGAGCACCAGTACTGATGGTCAAATGATGTTTGGCGGAACATGGCTTCAAAACGGCTGAAGTCTGAAGATAACCAAGCAGTGTACGCAACGTCTCCTCATGGTTGGAGGACCAAGAAAATTGATTGAATGCTATGACAATAAACAGGCAACTTGCATGTTTGGCGAAATTAGGAATGAAACGAGAGTAATACTGAAGTGCTCCTAGAACTGAACGCAGTTCTTGTAGATTGGTCGGTGATGGCGCATTTACTAAAGGGGATAGACGTCTTGTATCAGGTTTAAAACCGCTGCCATCCACAATGTAGCCAAGGCATGAAAATGATGGGACACCAAAAGTGCATTTTTCAGGATGAATAGCTACATTGAACTCAGAAAATCTCTTCAGTAAAGACAACAGGCGCATATCGTGGGTAGCTGTGTCAGCAGTGTGCACAATGAAGTCCTCTTGGTACGTCTCAAGACCCTCCAAATCTTTTGCAATACTATTCATAACTTGCTGAAATACAGCTGGTGAAACGTTCAGACCAAAGGGAAGAAAATTTTATCGGAATAACCCAAAGGGTGTGTTGATCACGGTAAGGTTACTGGAGGCTTCGTCCAGTGGTATTTGAAGATAAGCATCTTTTAAATCGATTTTTGAAAACACACTTGAACCTGATAAACGATACAATACATCTTCTGGCTCTTCCGTGGTGCATGTACGTTGTAGTAGCCGCGTATTTAGCGTAAGCCGGTAGTCACCACAAATTCTCGGAGTAATACCATCAGCCTTCAGTGGGGTAACGATCGGAGTTGCCCAATTCGATGACTCAACAGGAGTCAGTATTCCTTTCGCACACATTGAATTTAATGCTTGACGAACAGGCTCGCGTAAACCAAATGGAATAATCCGTCTCTTAAGAAATATAGGCTCTCCTGTAACTTCGAGCCTCATCTTGGGAATTTGCATGCCACCTGTGGCCTTAGAACATTTAAGAATCAGTTGCTTGAGTTCATTCTCATTCGCAGAAGTCAGTAAGGTGATACTGGTTTGCAGTAAGCGTAGAACTTTGAGTCCGACGATCGATGGTCCCGACGTTGATACCAAAAAATTACAATCGATACAGGTACCTTGTAGTAACCTCACAGGGATCGTGCAACTACCAACGAGAGGTACAGAATGTCCAGTGATACCGCGAATGTTAATATCTGTAGGCACTATCACGGCACTGGGGTAGAATGCAGTTAGATCTGATTGTGGAATGATGGACTCAACACTACCAGTATCAACAATAAAGCCATGCTTTTGACCAGAAGCGGATATCAACGTTTTAAAAACATGTGACGAATTTTGGGACAAAACAGATAGAGAAAGAGTAGAAATATCTTCAGATAATGTCTTCACGTCAGTGTTTGGGTCAGAAGTTAAGTGACACACTTTCTTGGACTTACAGACAAGTTGAATGTGTCCTGTTTTACCGCAGCTAAAACACTTGGCTCGTCTGTGGGGGCATGAATATCTGGAATGGTTTCGTCCACAAGACTCGCATTTCCCGAATTTTTGAGCCATCGGATTAGGGTTACGATCTGTGAAGTGACGTGTTGATGGATTTGAGGCACGAGAATCTGTTCGAGGTTTGAATTTGTTGTTCGTCCGCATCCTTGAATTATTTCTTTTAGAATAATTTAACAAGACTGCTTCCTCAGTCTTCGTCACATGCTTCACATCTTCATACTGCTCACATATTTTCCGAATAGTTTGAAATTTCTGATCCGGACAGAGTAGCAGCTTCTGCTGTAATTCGGGCAGCTGAATGCCAGCAATGAGTCTATCACGCAGCTGATCTTCCAATTGGGCACCGTAGTCACATTTGGCTGCCTGTGTCTGCAGCTGTAACACGAAATGACGAACCGACTGAGAATGGGAGCGGGTCAACAAGTTAATCGGTTTGAAGTGTTGAAGAACTTTTTTCTTCAATGCAGTGTAGGAAATACCGATTGGAGATTCAGGATACACTAGATTCTTGATCAAAGTATACGCCTCCATGCCAACGAAATGTAGAAAATATGCGGTGAGTTTCTTATCATCCATATCGGATTTTGTGAGGCACCATATGTCGAAACGTTCCAAATAATCCTCTACGTCACGCGCAGTTGAATTAACATCTAATGGTTCCATTTCTGTAGGCATGATGAATTGTTCCAATCGCGACGCCAAAATGTGAGAATTATGTTTCGTACGTATATTGGTATAACCAAACGGACAAGAAATCCAGAATTCAGATCAGCGCAACAAGTAGCACGTATGTATTCGAATTGGCGTATATGTACAGCATATACAATATTAAAACAGGAGAATAATGAATAGAGCAATGAATAGAGTATCAGTCATGTTTATCACAACTTTCTTACGATTTGCGAAACCAAAATTGTTCCGAAGCTGTCTGTCGAGCATCTAGTTTGCGGAGTGCGTACGTACTTTAGTCAGAAATAGTGAACAGGTTGGACAAGTGTTGTCAGTAATTTTGATACCGGTATCAGTTCGGTTAGCGCTTGACGGTCCAGAAAGTTCCGCTGCACTTAGTTATAACCGAACGTCTCCATGCTTCGTAGCTAATGCAATTTCTGTTGCAGTATGTACGCTGTGGTAGCTCCATGGGACGGTTATTCTCCGAAGACAGGATTGTAACAATTTCTGTGGATAAAACACAGGGAGAAAGACCATGAGCCGAGGCCCAATACCTACATACAAATCAACTAAACTGAGAGACCCCTTTTACTACACTGTCAATACCTCTCTTGTAGCCTCCCCCCGAGGGTGCATCAATCATCGCTTTCGGAAATGCCTTAAAGTCATTTACTGCGCGATGGACAATGTGGTAAAAATATTCGTCCATGTCTTGGTTTATACAGTTTTAAACGGTGATCTTATTTTGTAGACCGATATTCAATTGAAGGAATCGCTGCAATTCCTTTACTTTTCCAATGAGACTCCTACGGCCTTGTATCATTCCGGTCGTCGTCGCTTGTGCTCCAGAAGGTCATACTGCGGACTGCGTAGGACAGTTATTTAGTTGGAACAGTCTTCGAACTTTTGCCTTGGAAGCTTTCTCTGAGCTGTACTTGATGCTTATCTAGCGGAGAGGCTTCAGGCAGACCATGTCCACAGACTAGTCAGATGTGTGTGAAGACCATTATCCTAAAGCACCTTATCGCCCACGTTATCCTGCACGTCACATCCATTTTTATGAGTATTCGGGATCGGTTTCAGGTCGGTCGGGGCTGATACTCGGGCCCGCCTGCTACACAAAAACTTCAGCCGACAACTGCCATTATCGTTTACCTAAAAAGTCTCATCATGGTCGTTACTAGCATCGAATTCTACGGTTTAGTTTGCCAGGCACCTGTTCGCACCATTCGGACAACCGACTGAGAGGCAGTTGCAATCGAAATGCGTCTTTAAGCGAATGAGTACATGGTGGTTTTGCAGTCAGCTGGGAAAGAGGGCGCCAGTCTGATAGCTTTTCTTCCCCCATGGCTTTCGGATGGAATGCTTATCTAGCGGAGAGGCTTCAGGCAGACCATGTCCACAGACTAGTCAGATGTGTGTGAAGACCATTATCCTAAAGCACCTTATCGCCCACGTTATCCTGCACGTCACATCCATTTTTATGAGTATTCGGGATCGGTTTCAGGTCGGTCGGGGTTGATACTCGGGCCCGCCTGCTACACAAAAACTTCAGCCGACAACTGCCATTATCGTTTACCTAAAAAGTCTCATCATGGTCGTTACTAGCATCGAATTCTACGGTTTAGTTTGCCAGGCACCTGTTCGCACCATTCGGACAACCGACTGAGAGGCAGTTGCAATCGAAATGCGTCTTTAAGCGAATGAGTACATGGTGGTTTTGCAGTCAGCTGGGAAAGAGCGCGCCAGTCTGATAGCTTTTCTTCCCCGATGGCTTTCGGATGGAGCTGCTGATGAATTCCTATCAGGATACCCTTCGACGGTGATAATTAGAAGACCATCATTCTCACATCCGCGAAGGGAAGAGGCGGTCCGTTTCAGCCAACTACTGCCTTTTGTGCACTTAGTATTGCCCTAAAAATCTATAAACTTTATCACAGAGACCACTTCGGATTATTCCTGGAGCAGCTAAATATGGTTGCAGTTTAGTAGCACGGGTTAATTCATAGGAAATCATGTGCAACCGGGGCGCCCGACACCAGTACCGTTTCAGAAGCAGATGTGTACCTTGCCTTCTGAAAGACTTCAGACGGAGTACAGCGGCACATTCTATTGCGGAAAGTAGCTGCCTACTTTGTACACGAATACCTGAATCACCGTTTCATAGCCCTTAAAGCCCACTGACACTCCTGTACTGACTTACCAAGTACATCAGCTGCCGCCTCAAGTGCGTAGCTATCTACTCCCTATCCGCCCCCCCCCCAAATCATTGACAAACAAAACTATGGCAGTTGTAACCACTGAAGGACAAATACGCGGTTTTTACGGCTAAAAATGATGATCTATGGCAGTTGTAACCACTGAAGGACAAATACGCGGTTTTTACGGCTAAAAATGATGATGAGCCGTGTACATATCGTCACAATCCCTACAGAGAATGCCCTAAGGCTCTACCGTCATCTGCATTGTGTTCATCAATGCATTGCCCACACGACTTGCAAGGACTATCTCCTCCACTGAAGACCAACTACCCCAAGCCAGACTTAGGGTAACTGTTTTTCAACTGAGAACGCGTCACGTGTTTCACGTGCGACACTAACACCCGCTCATATACCTCGGAGCCACATGATTTCCATACTGCCTCTGCGGGCAGAGGCACTCTTAAGGATTTTGACAACCGACACCTCAGAAGCATTGCTGATGTCGGATGTCGTCAGCGAATTCGTAACGAGGTAATTAGAAAACTGTTTTTTTCGTGCAACAGATAATTTAATCGCGGAAAACACCATCAACTGCAGTGGCTTTACCAGAAACTACGCATATCGAAAAACCGTATACCGAGACGAGTGTTGTTTTCCGTCCCTCCTTCAGAATGGCACAAACTGCGAGGCGAACAACTTATGACGGAATGATGCAAAAGAGACTACGGAGAATTCGGATGTTGTTGGTGCGGTCCACCTTCCAGGGTGTGGTCCCCATGGCCTCCTGCGCTTGGCCGGAGAGACGGCAGGAAATGTCGACGGACTGACGTCGGTTTTTCCCCAGATTGGTTGAGCGATTGGAGATGTAGGCACTTCAGAATAATTCAACCTCCCTTTTCTACTATATTCATTCTAATGGCTTTAATATGATAAGATAATCGTTGCGCTTGTATAGCAATGAAACATCACTATCAACACAGATGTTGCTGCCTTTGATGATGATGATGAGTGTGAAAATGTGGTGGATGCTGTCTCCACCCAGTCGAAGCAAAGAGCTGACCAAGGTTCCGCATGCCACCGAAAAAAGTCATCAGTGACAGGAGTCTTGCTACAACTTAATGACTCACGTGATTACTTCATTGACCGTGAACCATCTTTGTGATTATTTCGTACAAAGGCTTCGTGTTATGCGTCTTCTCCACCATTCCATCCGCAGTGGAATGGCTAGGCTGAAGTTGGTAGATTCCTTTAAGCCCTGACAAGGCCAAAATGGGAAGGGACGACGGCAGGAGTCTTGGGCATCCTTTTGTTGGACTCCCAATTCACATTCCTGTGATGGTCCCCGTTAGAGGTTACCGCCCTGTCATGGAAATTAATGTCGGAATCATCATCAAAAGAACTGGCCAAGTGGTTTGTAGCTTCCGGGTGGGGACATCAACATAGAAACGGCGTGTTAACCAACTAAAGCTAGCCGACTGAGTGTCCGATCCCGAATGAGGTTTTACAGTCTCTAGATCTTAACCTATTGTTTTAAATCATCGACTTTCGAAGGTAAGCCGCAACAGCCACTGTTTCACTTTTACCGCCCGCCACAGACTCCTTGCTGCATCCGAGACGCGGGATCAACCGATCCAGAAACAAGTGGAGCCTTTCAAACTTGACCCGCTGAGGCATTTCTATGCTGACGGATCAAAATGTGGAAGTTCAGGAAGGTTAAGTTCCTGAAAATAACCACAAGTGTCCGAAACTTACTGGAACCATCGAATTTGCCAAAACCGTCTCACGAGAATCACTGAGTCTCCGGGTTAGAATATCCATTTATCGAATTGATGGTTCAAGCAGTCAATCAGTGACGACTGACGATGCTCGAATGCCCCAGCGTGTCCTAAAAACGATGTCAATCAATCGCCCAACATCAACCAGACAACTTTGAAGCAAGGTTAAAAGTGCTCCTTGAATAAGTCGACGGCCGTTGTAGGCTTGCGTTCCCTTGTCCTCGATATAGCCGTTGTGTTCTCCGGCTCATACACTAATCTGCATGCCAATCCGGTTTTGACGGGAGAATCATCCGGAACCCAGCTGAATACCTTGTGTATAATGGCCTTGCTTGGATGCTTTTTTCGTCAGTGAGATTCTGGAGACCAGAGTTTACAGTCAGTTACAACAGAGACGCTACTGTTCGCTTAGCCCTGTCTGGAACGGTCCCTCCTAGCTAATGGAGAATAAGTTGGACTACCGTCTTCAAGCAGAGCATGTGGAAGGTTGTCAGGACCAAGAGCATGGTAATACTTGAGTAAAGATATACGATCGAACACTTCTGAGGCTGAAAGTAGTTTCTGATACAGATCGTATTTCTGTCAAAAGCCAACAACCGGAACGCGAAGGACCAAGTGACCAACCGAATCGTTCAGAACATTCTGCCAAGCTACTCAAACCTCCTCGTTTGCTGGATCGCAAAGAGCTTTGATGGTTTCACTGACAACAGGCCTCTGTTGAACGAATTAACCGATGTCATGTCGTCGTCAACGCCATTCCATGAATGATAGGGAATACCGATCTTGTCACGATGGATGTTCATGACAGTGAAAGAAATCTGTTGGTTAAAAATGCATTATCTGATTTTCATCCAGGATGCCCGGACCAGCCGAAATCACAGAAATATTAGAGACTACCTAATAACACAAAACATAGACAGGAGTGTCGATACTGACACTGATTAGGGTCGGAACAAGTCGATGAAGTCAAAGTCAGCAAAGAAGACTCTTCGCATATCTCCTCTGATCTCACCCCTATCAGAACTTTTGAGTTACCATAGCTTAACGGGACCACTGATCCTGATAGAATCTCCCTCCGATAAACCCCTATCAGAACTTTTGAGTTACCATAGCTTAACGGGACCACTGATCCTGATAGACTGTCTAGTTGAATAGCCGAAGTCAGTGCATTAAGGCACTTCCGAGTCAGACATGGACGCTCTAACTGGGCGTCCGTACCCACGCTGGCATAAATGTCCCTTGAACTCTACTCAACCGGAACTCTGAAAATTAGTAAGCGAATCATTGAAACTGTACCTCTTTTCTTACGAAGTAGACACTGCGAGTAAACAGTGTTGTAGCTTGGTAGTTTGAGAGATTGATGGAACTTATCCCATCGCGTTGTATAGTCCAAGTGGGAAATCCCAGAGAAGGAAACAAAGGAGACCGGATGAAGGCTTCCCATATTGAGAAAGGGAAATCGCTGCACTTTAAAAAAGATTGAATTATTCGTTAGGACCTGATCGTCCTGATACATGGGTCAGCTACAGGCATTTGGACAAGTATCCACGGGTCCTATGGAATCAAAACTATATTTGGGGATATCATGCCTTCCATCGTGATCCACCGCTATTTACTGGATTCACTGAACGCTACTGAACTGATTGTAGGAGTTGGCTTTGATGGGTTTTCACATTTTATCTAGAACCTTCAAATGACGGCGCGTCAATCGAACCCTGATGAAATATCGACACTAGTGAGCGCTTTGACTGATTTTTCATCGCAACAACGATGTTAGATAAGTCCTTTCTCTTCTTAGTTAAACTACTCCATGAATACTTAATGAGCATCAGCTGCATGGGCTCAGGTTTGGAGCCTTTATACTTTAATAATACACGCTCCACTCCGAACCTAGGTGGATACCTTCCATTCCAGAGCCCAGGTTGTCTCAATATGTTTTACCAGCCAACTTTTTGAAGGTACTAAGAATGTGCAGCATTTGGGAGCCAGTCACCAGTGACGGGGAGTTTTACTAATTGATTACAGCACTAGGTGTGGTTCATCAGCTCATTCTACCTCATATGTTATCAGTTCGTCTGCAGTTGTGGGGACAAACACATAGGTGGGACATAAATTTATCACCACTAATACTTCAGTCAACAATATGGGCGGGTAATTAAAGTAAAAACAATGACGTCCTTCGCCAGCGTTAATGATAGCTTAACACCCCATCCGGGCAGGCCGCTAACCTGACATTTAATTCACTGTGCAGTACGCCTAGAATTCGACAAAGCAATACTGATTAATCGTGCGCAACCATATTTATTCAACCAAGATATGTCGATTTGCCACGGACGTAACCATTTGTACATTTTTCAGATGTACTGCATAAACAAGCTCACTCTTCGCTTGTGTACTTGCATACGGTCGTGATCCACACTGCTTTCATCCTTTAATGTCTCTTCTGTTTTGACGAAATGGATAAGCGTAACTCAGTGGTTGTTGGCTAAGTCGCGCTAAAAGGATTTGACTTCTTTTTGGCACTTGGCCCCTCAATTTTATGTCCTAGATATTACTTGCGTCCATATTCACTTTTGGTCCTTTATGTATATAGCATATAAAATACCGCGGCAGTATACATGTTCTTCTGATCCCCATGTACTATTTTTATTCCAGCTCAGATGCCGTCTGATGACAACTCCAGAGTGATTTTGGTAACTGGTGGATCTGGTCTTGTGGGCAATGGCATTAAGATCGCTCTCGGTAATGACAGATATAACTTGAGTCGCAGTGACGAGAAGTGGGTTTTCGCCTCCTCTAAAGATGTTGACCTAACCGACGCCGTGGCGACTCAAAAGTATTTTGAAAGTCTGAATCCGTCTTTCGTTATTCATCTGGCAGCTAAAGTTGGTGGTCTTTTTGCAAACATGTCCAATAATTTGGAGTTTTTCGTGAGTCTCTCCTTAGCTTACCATCCAGTCAACTTCTTATTATACTTATTTGTACCGTAGATTGTTCACAGTACCCCAAGTTTGCTTTTCTGCATTCCTTTACCTTTCATGCGTTGATCGCTATTTTGTGTCCTTACAATCTGGTAATGAGTTGATGTTCAACACTAGTACCACCGTTGTTGATGGTAGAATTAATATTATCATGCGTTTTCAGATGTACATTGTGTCGGAACTCCTAGACCATCGCAGAAATTCGTGGTCACCCGTATTGTCAAGTCCCCCACTGCGAAAACGCAGATCAAGAAAACGCGTCGTGTACCTAGTCTGTACGGGGACTTCAGCTGCTCTTTAGCTTTGGATTTTGTGACATTCCAAGGATTTGAGATTGTTACGCTGGTCAGACAAAATCAACCCCATCCCGGAGCTGCCTGGGTTCAGA